CATTACCACCCTGACCTCAAGCCGGCATTAAAAAGGATTATTTGATTAAAATCAAAAAGGTCGCAGTATAAACAGATACAGATTTATCGAAAATAAAATCTATGGTAATTGCATTTGAAAATGCATTTATGTTAATAGAGGCTTCGAAGTATTAAAAACATGCTGTGAAATAATATTAGTTATTATTCCAAAGAAATTAGATAGCTAAAATTTTTATATTACAACATTGGTATTTCTACTATTACTTACATACATATAGTCGTTTAAAGTGCAAAACCGCGTAACTGACCTTTGCTACCAAAAACTGGATTTGCACACACAAGCTCTTGGCTCAATTCTTATCCATTCGTCCTGAAATATACTTGATGCGATTGCTTTATAAATCTAGAAAATAATTTATGCAACCTCACATACGCGGTTTTACATTATCTTGATACGTGGTTTTGCATTTTGTTGATACGCGAGTTTGTACTTTAAACGACGATATAATCACCCTCATTGCGAGAGTGGTGTCGTATGCAAGTGGTTTTTCGAGAGTCGAATCGTATCGCAAATTGCACGTCATTGCCTAAAATTTCCATTCGACTAGTGTATTAAAACGGAAAAACTTGGCAGCACTGTATAGTTTTCGACGATTTTCGTCATTTACTTATTTCAGCACGACAGTAAACAATGCCAATGTTGTCGAGTCGTACAATTTAGCCTAATTTACGACTTACGCAATGAGGCTGATTATTTATTGGAGATATTTTAATGCAAATAAAAACACCTGTTGTGCCAAAAAGTTATTATTACATTTCATTGCATAACACCCAAGCCATACAACTGTCCTTCAGTATTCCCCTATAGTAAAATTAGAGCAGAAATAAAATACAACATCTTTTCATAAAATATTTTTCATGTTTGTATAAAGACGTGGGGTAAAACCTGCGGGTAAAAGCTAGTAACAAATATAAATAAGAGTATAGGATTAGATTGCTATAATATGTATTGTGAATAGATACTTAAATGGTGCTAACGTTTATCGTTTGATTAATTTTTGTTAATAATATTTATGTAAATGGGAGTTTAAAGTCAGAATTAGTGTACAATTACTTTACTATGTTTATTGTTTTTGCATCAGTGAATTTTACTTGCTAATCATGTTTGTTGTTTATTTGTTTTTATTTTTTGAATAAAGACTTCCTGATGAAGATGCGAGAGCGTTAAAACGCGTAGGAGGGTAAACGGAAAAATTTCATTTTTCGCTTTTTTAACTATCGACCGATGCAGCTCCAATCCAGTAAACATAGCAAATAAGTATTTGGCCCAAATAATTATAAGTAATTAGGTTTCTTTCCTAATAAATTGTTAAACTAATATTTCCTTGCTTCATAAAAAATATTCATTTATTAAATA